TAGATCCTTTTTTCCTTTTGAACAATTTCTTCCTATTTCAGGAAGACAGCAAGAAGGGGACTGCCTGGGTCCGGTGGGACCTCTCCTCCTAGGTTTTGAGGAATCTCCACACTGATCTCCACAGTGGCGGCACAGTCTGCACTCCCACCAGCAGCGAAGAAGGGTTCCTTCCCCAACCCTGCCAGCATTCGCATTGGTTACTTCCTTGATAACAGCCGCTCCTTCTGGAGTGAGTTGGCACTTCAGATGTTTCAATGTGCATTTTTCCGATGACCGGCAATGTTGAACATTTTTTCGTACATTTATTTAACGTTTGCACTTCTGAGGAGCGTCTGTTCATCTCAGATGCCCATTTTTATACTGGGTCTTGGAATTCTGGGGAGTGTGATTTCTTTTGCGTTCTTACATGTTCTTCATAGCAATCTCTTGTCTCAGGAACAGCTGCCTAAGGTGTTTCTCACTCTGTGAGCTGTCTTCTCATTCTTTTGGATGTGCAAAAGCTTTCTAATGAGATGAGATCCCAGTTGCTGATTCTTTGCAACATTTCCCATGCCATCAAGGTTTGGTTCATGAAGTCTTTGTCTACAATTACGTCTTCAAACATTCTATCTATTCTCTTCCAGAAGATGTAATGTTTCTGTCTTAATATTTAAGTCTTTGATCCATGTTGACGTTAGTGCATGGCAAGGCACGTGATTCTAGTTTTGGTCTCTGGCATGTGGAAAGCCAGTTTTTCCAGCATCATTTATTAAAAAGTCTGTTTTTTCTTCCAGTGGAAGTGTTTAATCCCAGTGTCAAAGATCAGGTGGTTAAGTGTGTTTGGAGTTGCTGTTGCATCTTCTAACCTGTTTCATTGATCCTCAGGCCTGCTTGTTTGCCAGTACCATGCTGTTTTATGACAGTAACTCTGTGCTATAATTTCAAATCAGGGATTGTGATGACCCCTGCCTTGATATTTGTTACCCAGAGCTGTCTTTGCTATTCTATTCTCTTCTGGCTCCAAATTAATTTTACAATTGTTTTCTCTAGTTCTCTGAGATATGCTAATGGTATTGTGATAGGGATTGTATTAAAACTGTATAACAATTTTAGGGGTATGGCCATTGTCACTATGTTGGTTCTTCCTAATAAAGAGCAAGGGATAACTTTCCATTTTCTGACATGGTTTTCAATCTCCTTGTTCATTATACTGTAGTTTCCAATGTAAAAATCTTTTACTTCCTTTTAGATTGATGCCTGTGTCTGCCTTTCTTTCTTTCTTTCTTTCTTTCTTTCTTTCTTTCTTTCTTTCTTTTTCTTTCTTCCTATGCTACTGTGAGATGGTTGGCTTCCCTAATTGCTCTCTCAGCGAGCTTGTTACTTGTGTACCGGAGTGCTACAGATTTTGAGAGTTGATTTTGCATCCAGGTATGCTATTGAATTTTGTTATTAAAACTAGGAGCCTTCTGATGAAATTTTCGGGATTTTCTATGCAGAGTGTTAGGTCAGCTATAAATAATGATAATTTAACTTCTTCGTTTCCTACCTTGTTTCTTTAATTTTTTCCTCTTGCTTAATCCCTCTGGCTAATATTTCCAGAAATATATTGAATATGTCTGGTGATAGTAGACATCTTAGTTTTGTCCCTGATTTCAGAGTGAAAGCTTTCCATTTTTGACAGTTTAGTACAATGTTGACTATTGGTTTGTCATAGATGGTATTTATCAGATGGAGATAAAGACCATCTACTACAATTTTCTGTAGTATTTTTATAACGAATATATGTTGAATGTCAAATGCTTTTAAGATGATTGTATGATTTTTGTCCTTGGCTCTATTGATATGATATAGTACATTCATTGATATGTGTATGTTGAACACTCCTGCATCTCTGGGATAAATCACATTTGATCATGTTGTATAATCTTCTTGATGATTTGCTGCCAATAACTTGTTTATGTTTGCCAGTATCTTATTAAGGATTTTTGCATCTATGTTTATTAAAGAGATTGGCCTGTAGTTCTCTTTCTTAGTTGAGTCCGTCTCTGGTTTTGTTTTTTTTTTTTTTTTTTTTTTCATTAGGTTAATACTTGCTTCCAGGAATGAATTTGGAAGTATTACGTCTTTCAATTTCATTAAAGAGTCTGAAGAGTAATGGCATTAGAAACTGTAAATTTCTTACAGCATTCACCAATGAATCCATCAGGACCTGAAGTTTGCTTTGTTGGTAAAGTTTTAGTTACATTTTCCATTTCATTGACTGATACTGGATTATTTAGAATTTTGTATCTGCTTGATTCATCTTGGTAATCCATATACATCTAAGAATCTGTCTGGTTCTGCATTTTCCATATTATTAGAAAAAAATATTCTTTTTTTTTTTGTACTGGGGATAGAAATCACAATCTTGTGCTTGCCAGGCAGGCACTTACACTGCTGAGCTAAATCCTTGGCCCTAGAACAAATATTCTTGAAGTAGTTATTAATTATTTTCTGTATTTGTAAAGGCTCTGTTTTAATATTACTTTTTTCATTCCTAGTTGCATGAATTTGAGTCTTTTATTCCCTTTTATAATAAGGTTGACTAAGGGTTTAACAATTTAATCATTTGAAGAACAAACTCTTTGACTAATTGATTCTTTGCATTGTTTTCTTATACTCAATTGTATTAATTTCTACTCTAATCTTTATAATTTCCTCCCCCATGTAAGCCTTGGGCTTGACTTGTTCTTTTTCTAGAAGCTCAATGTCCACACTAGGTTGGTGATTCCAGCTCATAGTGTTGTCCTGATGTGAGAATTCACAACTCTAAATCTCCCTTTTAGAACTGCTTTCGATGCATCCCAGAAGTTCTGGTACATTGTATCAACAGTACCATTTTGCTGCAGGTATTGTGTAGTTTCTTCTTTAATTTCCTCTGTGGCTCATTGTTCAGGAGGGTGTTTACTTAATTTCCATGTGTTTACGGACTTTTTGGGTTTCCTTTGCCACTGATTTCCAGTGTCATTGCACTATTGACAGGTAATACGCATGGAATATTTTGAATTCCTTTGCATTTGCTCAAGCATGTTCTGTGGCCAGCATGTGGTCTCTCGGAGAATGTCCGATGTACAGTTGAGAAAAATGTGTACCCTGATGCTGTGAAGTGGAACACTCTGTAGGTATCTACTAAGTCCACTTGTTCACAGGTTGGGTTCAGTTCTGATATTTCTTTATTGAATTTTTTGTCCAGTTGATCTATCTATTTGTGACAGTGGTGTGTTAAGGTCCCCCATTACAATTATGTTAGTGCTTATTTAATTTTTCATGTCCATTAAAATTTTTATATAGTTGGGTGCTTTTGTATTTGGTGCATACATATTTATGATTGTTATCTCTTCTTGAGGTTTTCTCTTAACAAAAATATATTGACCTTCTTCATCTCTTTTGATCAGTTTTGGCTTGAAGTTCACATTGTCTGCAAATACAATAGCTGCTCATGTATTTTTCTAGATTCCTGCCGCCTAGAGTATTGCTTTGCATCTGTTTATTTTCAATCCATGAAGTTCTTTTTGCATTAAGTGTGTCTCTTATAGGTAGCATATTGTTAGATCTTGTTTCTTCTTTTGATTGGTGAATAGAGGCCACCTACATTGGTGGTTATAACTGATATGTATTGGTTTATCCTCTACATTTTATTTTTTAATGTTGATACTTTGTCTTCCCCTTGGGTTAATCGCTTGCCCTGCCTGACAGCTTCGTTCTGCTTGTGTTCTTGGAATTGTTATCATTATTATCTTTGTTTAGAATATCTTTGAGAGCATTTTGTAGAGCTGGTTTCTTAATCATGAATGTCTTCAGTTGTTTTTATCATGGAATATCTTATTTCTCCATTAATTAGGAAAGGTAGTTTCTCAGGGTATATTAATCTGGATTGGAAGTTGTTTTCTTTCAGGATTTGGAATACTTCCCTCCAAGATCTCCTCCATATAAGGGTTTGTGTTAAGAAGTCTGCTCTGATTCTGATGGATTTCCTTTATAGTTGATTTGTTTCTTTTCTCTAACTTTTAATATTTTGTCCTTGTATTGCATTCTGGAATCTTGATTATTCTACGCCTTGGTCTAGGTTTATTTTGGTCATGGCTAATTGGAGTTCAATATGCTTTACTTATTGTCTTAGTTACTTTTTACTCGTTACAGAATACCTGATGCCCAAAGTTAGGGAAGGAAAGGTTTATTGCTTACAGTTCTTGGAGGGTTTGGTCCATACTCAGCTGGCTCCAAGGCAGCATGGCGTGGCGGGGCAGCCATTCATGGCTGCTGCAAACAGCAAAAGCATGAACCAGCAAGTGAGAGACACAGACACCTTCTTCTTTCCCTTACATCATATCCTGGCTCCACTCCTAGGCAGGTGAAACATTCATGCCACCAATCTGAGCACTAGGCAATGAACCAATCACAAACGCTAGATTTGGTTGAGTCCATAATTACATGAGGTTGGGGGCCACTGGCATAAACCATGACACTTATCTGTATGTCAAATTATTTTTTAATGATGGGAAGTTTTCTGCCCTTACTTCTGTGAACAGGTTTTTATGTCACGTGTACTGACTCCTACTTCTTCACTGACTCCAGTTCTTTTCATCATCTTGCTGCTGTTGGACTGGTTTTTCATGGTCCTTGCTTTTTTTTAAGAGATCTTTCTTTTCATGATTGCTAGCCATGATCCCATCTTCTAGGCCCAATATTCTGTCTTCACTTTTGTTCTGTGATTTTGCAAGCTTTCAATGGAATTTTTAATTTCCTTGATATCTGTTTGAATCTGTTTCTTGGCTTCTGTTTCTTTCCTATGTTGATGTTTTTGATTTCTACTATTTTCGTATGCTCCTCTATTTTTTTAAAATCTATGCCTATTCTGAGAAATTCTGTTCTGAGTAGGTCCTTCATTGTGGTTATCATCTTTTCTTTTTACATGGGAGGTTATTTTTATCTGCCTTCCTCTATAGTCTTGTACCTTTTGTTTTTGTTTTGCTTTGTTGTTCTTTTTTTTTTTTTTTTTTTTTACTTCTGCTGCTATCGTTTCAGAGACTTGAGGAAGGTGCCTTCTATTTTCCCCTGCTTTGTCCCCTGGACTTGTCCTGGGTGGGTTGCAGTTCTGGCATTGGGTTTTGCTTTTGTGTCTTGTCATTTACTATTTTTTAAATTTAATTTTGTTGTCTGTGTTGAGACTTATACATTTCTTGTATCAGATAACTTTATCATTAGTATTGTGGTCTTCCTAGGAAATGTCTGCTCTTCAGAGATGTTTTGCAGGTGTAGGAAGCTCTTGATTTTTGTATCTTGCCCAACATCCTATCCTCCCAATTTATTAAGGAGATGAGATGTCACTATCTAATTGACTCAGTGCCCAGCCCTTTGGTACTGGACTATGGTGATGGTCCAGTACCAAACAATCACAGTGTTGATGTACAAGCGAAAACAACTGATTACAACAGGTATGACATTCTGGCTGGAGTGGAACAATGAGCAATAATAATAGTGATGTGTACAGTTTAAAAAGTGACAAACCACTGTAACTATTAACATGGTCTCCTCAATCACTGGGTAAGATCTAGTTATCTAACAATAAACAGTATAAATCAGGAGCTTGTATGCAAAGGATTTACTTTTCATATAATGGTTTTATCCTATGGTAGGGAAATTTAAGAGGGATAGGGGACAAAACAGGGAGACAGATGAAGAGAAATACAGTAGAAGCGAGCCTGGAGGACAAAGGACACTCACAGCTTTGGTAAACTAGAGAAGCGAGGAGAACGGGGAGAATGAAGTACCTGGTACCTGAGCAACCGCTTTGAGGATCATGATATGCAACGTATCATCTCTGTCAAATTCCTGTCTTGTTTTGAAATCCTGTATTGTCATGTTGCTTTTGTTGTGGTGGTGGTGGTGGCTGTCATGTTGCTTTTGTTGTTTCTTTTCAATTGTTTGCTTCTTCATTTTTCTGGTTTTTTTTTCTCTTAAAAAAATAAAGCCAATGATTTCAGGTTCAAAAAGGATATAGCTTATGTATAAGTGTGCAAGATAGATAACAATATCACTGTTTTTGTTAGTTCATCAAACAGAATAGTTTGCACCACCATTGTTTGACTGTCCACTTGTTATGCTTTGATTTTGTAACTTGAACAACCACTTCTAAGATAACAATATGTAATTTATCAACTAGTGGTTTTTTACTGGTTTTCTTTTTTGAAATTCTGTATTATTTCTACCCTTTTTTCTGTTTTTCCTTTTTTCTCTAAATAAATAACTAAAAATGAAACAAAGAGGGAAGGGCTAAGCAAAAGATTACTGAAGAAAACCAGAAAGACCAGAAGTTCACTCACAGGAAAATATCGTGAAACAGGAGAGATCACTGAGAAAGGGGAGAAAAAAGTTGAATAGAATAGAAAAGAAAGGCAAAAACCTAAGCAAGCAAACAACAAACAAACAAAAATAACAGAAAAAGGAAAGTGAAACAAAGAAAAACTATTGGCATTCCTCTGGTGTCCACCGTTCCGTGCAGGGTCCAAGGCAGAGCGTTCAAAACTGCGGGTCATCCCGCCAGGCCTGCAGTGGGACTACGGCTGGGTGGGAGCCCAATCTTGGCTTCTGGATGCGCAGAGATGGGCCAGAGTCTCAGCCACCAGTACCGTCTGTGTGTCCCTCAGCAGCCTGCCCGCTCCTTCCCCACTTTGTTTTCTTTCTGCAGACAGTGTTTGATCCCACAGCGCTATCCCCTCCCACAGCTGGCCTGCTCACTGCTGGGCACAGCTATCCCCTCCCACAGCTGGCCTGCTCACTGCTGGGCACAGCACGGGGCCACTTAAAGGCCACCTCATAGCCAAGCCCTGGGGCTGGAGGGTCTTGCTGCTCCATCCCCAACACCCCTTCTTGTGCTGGAGGCTCAGCACGTTTTTCATCTGTCAATCCATCATGTTTATGTCTTTGAGAAGGGTCTATTCAGGTAATTCGGCCATTTATTGGTAAGATTACTTTTTCTGTCCTAGTTAAATTTCTTAAGTTCTTTATATACTCTGGATATTGGTCCTCCAAGGACTTTCTCCCATGCTATTGGCTGTCTGTTCACTCTCTTGATTGGTTTTCTTTGCTGTGAAAAGTCTTTTCCTTTGATGTAATCCTACATTGATTTTGACTTTTTTTATTTAAAGACATAAAAAACCCCAAAATTTCAAAACACGATAATTAGAGGGCAACAATGGTTTATACGTTGTGCATTGTTACCTTTAAATCAGTTCCTCGGAGTACACAATATCTTCATTTAACTGTCCAAGAAATATACAAAATGCTAATTTGGAAAAAAAATGCAAAATGCTTCACGAATTTGAGTGTCATCCTTGTAAGCAGCCATGCTGATCTTCCCGGTATCCCCCCAATTTTAGCATATGTGCTGCTGAAATACGCACTGTTTTAACTTCTTAAGCTAGTGGAGTCCTATTCAGAAAATCATTGCCTTTGCCAGTATCTTGAAGTGTTCACCCTGTGTTTTCCTCTAGAACCCTAAAGTCCCAGGTCTTACATTAAGATCTGTTCCATTCTGAGCTGAATTTTGTGTATTCACAATAACCACATGATGGAATCTGCCTACTTGCGTATCAACAGATGAATGGATAAAGAAGATACGGTGTATATTCCCAGTGAGGAATTCTTTTTCCACAAAGAAGAAAAAAAAATCAGGTCATTTGCAAGAACACGCACGGAACCAGAGGTCATCACATTAGGCAGAATAAGCCAGCTATAGGAAAAAACTATTACACGTTTTTTCACACAAGTGGAAATTAGAATTTAGGGGGGGAAATGACCTGGAATTAGTTTAGGGATTACTAGGGAAGGGGAAGGCCCTAAGGAGAGTGGGACCCTGCAGAGAGGAGAAAGGAGAGTACTGGGAGGGCGGACTTGACCAAAGCAGAATACGCACATGTGTGGAAATATCACAAAACCTTTTGATATGTATGACCAGTATTATATGCATCAGTAATTATAGCTGAAAACTGAACAGATGCTTATAGTAAAGAGTGTAAATGGTATATATATATTTTAAAAAGAACTGTTCATGCATTCTTAGCTATAGAACTTCAATATGCAACAGAACCATTCACAGCTACTGATGGAGACATTTACATGTCACAGTGTAACTGAAGTAGGAGGGGCCCATGAGGGTCCTGAAGACCCGAAAGAAACTCTCAAACAGCCGGTGTAACCGATGTCGCAGAACACTGCACCCAGCAGCAGAATGTCTGTGCATTTCAATTCTGCACGGGCCACTCACCAAGACAGCCCACGGCCTGGGTCATAAAACAACCTTGTAAAAGTTGATGAGATTTAAATCCTACAAATATATGCTCAGATCTAAATCAGGCACACTGAGTCAAGTCTGTAACTTCAGCAATTTGAGAGGCAGGAGAATTGTTCAAGGACAGCCTGGATGACTTAGCAAAGTCCTGCATGGAAATCAAAATAAAAAGGGTCCAGGTTACGGCTCAGTGGCAGAGCATCCCTGGGGTCAATCCCTCGTACTAAAAAGGAAAAATAAAAAGCAAAGCTAAACAAATACACACAAGGTCTCTCTCTCTCTCTCTCTCTCTCTCTCTCTCTCTCTCTCTCTGTCTCTGTCTCTCTCTCTCCTCTGTCTCTCGGTGTGTCTGTCTGTCTGTCTCTCTCCACTCTCTCTTTCCAGTGTATTCAGTCTATGTTCTTCCCTTTGGGTGACATGCGTCTCCTCAGACCAGCACATGGCTGCATTTTTTAACCCAGTGTGCCAGTCTGTGTCTTTTGATGAGGGCGCTGAGATCATTAGCTTTGGGAGTTATTCCCGTAAGGTGCTTATTAAATCCTATCATCGCATTATTTCCCCAGTGCTAATTTTTCCCTTTGTTTCCTCTCCCAGTTACACGCGTAATTTCCTTTGGGGTCATAGGTGCTGGTGGCCTCCTTGTCACCTGAGAGGTCTTTTTTTTTATTTCTTTGTTGTGAAGAGTATTTTTCCATGGTGGCTGAAAGTTACATCTGAGTTGACTGTTGTTTCTTTTAGGACTTGAGCCCCGCCACTCAGTGGGGGAATCAGCAGAACCTGCTGGTTTTGATTTGGAATTACCTTTCTCTATTGTAATTTTTTTGGTTTATTTTTGAATTTATTTTGTTTTCACTGAAAAAGAAAAGGTAATGGACAGCTTTGAACATTCAAACTGCAGAAGTTGCTTTGTTACTATAAAACTACATGTGTAACGACAATACTAACCTTTTATTTAGTAAATTTATCTCTTCTTCAAGCTCATCATATATTTTGTTAGTAAAAGCCATTATGCACATAATATAGATTTTCTCAACAAAATATTTGATGAGCTTAAAGAAGAAACAAACAAATCTCTTATTGTTTAGTTTTGAAATTCTGTATCGTTTTTATCATCATTGTACAATTTTAAAAATCCATTATATGTTTCAGGAAACCCTTTTTAAGCTCATTAAACATCTTTTACATTTGTTTATACGTTGCTCCTTATAACTCTTCAAACATTCTACCACAAATAGACACAAAGACAACCGCCCTCACCTGCTACGCAGTAAGACTTCAGTCTATTTGCAGTGCACAGCAACTGTGGGCTTTTCTTGGGGACAGAGCTGCCGGTTCCTTGCTTCTTTCTGGGGCTGCCAACTCCGTCCAGGTTACCTTGTGTTTGTGGAACCAGGATATCCACTCTGGAGGCAGAATTAGTGTTTCCAGCTGCAGCCTTCTTTCCTCTGCACTGGTTTTAGTGTCTCTGTGGTTTCTAGTTTTTCAGCTGGCTCTTCCTTGATTCGTGGAGTTCCATTTCTCTTTCTCTCCACTAAGTTGTTGCTTCCCAAACGTCTTATTTCTAGGTTCCAGCGAGACCCGGTCACCTTTAAGCATCGCGTCCTCTCTCATCAATACAAAATATGCGAAATTTGTAGTTTTAAAATCTTCTGAAGAATAGAGCCTCAGAATTCTGATGGTTCACAGGCAAACGATACCAAATATTTAAAGAAGTAACACATTTTACAAAATGCCTTTCACATAATAGAAGGCAAAAGAAACATTTCCTAAGTCACTTTATGAAGACTGCATCTCTCTATACCCAAATTAAACAGGGGCAGTAGAGAAAAGGCTGGACTACAGACTGGTACTCATCATTCACAGATGGAAAATCATGAGCAGATCATTATCAAATTGCGTGAAGCAATATAAAAATAATCCTAATCCTAATGGTTTGATGATAATGCTTTATGGCCAAATTTATCCCAAGAGAATAATGCTCTTCATATTTGAAAAGCAATTAATGTGACCCACCATATTCAGAGTCCAAACAGAAAGACAAAGGGAAAGGGTTTGATAAATTTCAACATCAATTTACACAGGGAATTTACACATAAATTACAACGTCAATTTACACACACCAATCCCCATAATCAGCAGGGAAAGGGTTTGATAAATTTCAACATCTATTCACAATAAACTCTCATAATAGAGGAGTAAAAGAAAACTCTCAATGTACCACAGGGCACCTACAACTGTAATCTATCACTAATGTCTCACTTAATAGTGAGAGATGGAATACTTCTTAACATTGAAAAAGTCACTGATTTGATTTCCCTGCTCCCTGCCAACCTAGTACTGGATGTTTTAGCTAATGCAACAGCCAAAATACAGAAACCGTTTTTACAGAGCAATTAGAGATGAATAAATAAAGCTGTCTCTATTCATAGGTGATGTCATTTTCTGCATAAAAATTTCTAAGGAATAAGAAACAAAAAAAAAAAAAAAACCTAAAAATCAAAGTGTAAGCTAGGCTGGAAAATATGTAAATAAAGAAAAATCAACCTTTCTGTGTAGTAGCAGTTATGCAAGTTTTTCTAAAAATCTTACACAATAGGATCAAAGAAAACTGAAATGCTCACAAATGTAAAAATCAAGTACAAAATCTGTATGCTGAAAACTACAAAGTGCTATAAAAGAAATTTAAGCAGGCTTCAATAAATAGAAATGCCTGATATATTCATGGATCGCAAGATTCCTTACAGTAAAGACTCCATTTATTCCCAATGTGATCTGTAAGTGAATGCAAAAATGCCAAAAATTCAGCAGTCTTCTGTAGAAGAAAGAAATTGATTTGAAAATTTTCGTGGAGGAGCAAAGAAATTTGAAGAGAACAATTTTAAGAAACAAGAATAAATTACCCACAATTGTACTTTCAAATTTAAGAATCACGGCAAGTATGAATCATGCCAGTGTCGCTCTGGCAGGAGGATCAACATGCAGATCAACAGAAAGAAAGCTCTCAGCACCCAGCCACATGGGTGTGGCCCTTCACTGGCTGCCAAAGCTCCGAGCGTAACTAACGGAAAAAAGGATTCTTCTCATCAGAACTGTGATAGGACAATCTTACATGCATACACAAAAGGAAACCTTAAACTGCATCTGGCATTTGACACAAAGATTAGATCAGAATTGATCACACGTATAGATCCCCAGCACAAAGCTAAACATTTTAGGAAAAAGTTTTCATAACCTAGAGCTATGCAAACAATTAAAATTCTTAGTCTCGAGTACAGAAGCCTAAGGCATAAAAAATGAAAAATTGGACTTTCTCAAAGTTTACAGCTTTAGCTCTGTGCAGACAGAAGGATACCAAAGACAAGCTTACCTATTGGGAGACTGTGTTTACAAACCCCGTGTCTGACAAAGGGCTTATATCTATCATAAATAAAGTACTCTGAAATTTCAGCAGCAAAAAATAAAACACACAAAATTTTTTTCTTTCCCAAATGGACAAAAGATGTTAAGAGAAAATTAATCTTCATCATAGAAGATTCACAGATGGAAAATAATCACATCAAAAGATGTTCAGTGTCATCAGCCACTAAAAGCAAATGAATAGCAGGAGGAACCCACAGCCACCCATGGAGCATGCAGCCCACGGACTACTGAGGCTGTCAAGTCACAGTGAAGACGTGACAGGATCTCTCCAGCTCTGTTTGCAAACCGAAGTGATGCAGGCCCTCTGGAAAATGATGGTCAGCTCCCTCTAAAGTAATCACACACGCACTGACCACTGGTGGCGCGGCTCCCTCCGGGACTTATCCTAAGGAGCTGAAAACCTGTCCACTCAGCAACCTCAAGCACATTCCCAGCAGAATCACTTTTAGCTTACCCCGACTGGAAACAGCCCAAATGCCTCTCAATCAGGACACAGTTGAGCAAAGGACGCTGCGGCTAAACCATAGGGACAGCCCTCGACCAGACCGAGGAGAAATTCTGATGCTCAAGGAGATGGAGGAGTCAGAAAAACAAAGGAGAGTGGCAGAAGTGAATCGCAAAAGGTTTGTATCACATTATTTTCTCATGTGGTGTTTCAAATAAAATTAAACAAAGCTACAGTGATGAGAGCCCCAAGTTGGTGGTTTCCACACTGGCTTTGTGCATACAGGAGGTGCATACAGAGAGCACAGGAAAGGGCTTGGGGATGATGGATAGTTCTGTATGCTCATAGTGGTCATCTTTACATAAATCTATAAATGTATTAAAAGTCATAGAAATTCCAGCAATAAACACAGTGTGGCAACAAGGAAAAAAAGACAGTGGAGGAATGGGGCAGAATAGAGAGTTCAGAAAATAGCATAAATAAACTTTCTCTGCTGACATTTTACAAAGGAGAGGAGGCAAGCCAATAAATAAGTAATAGTCTTTTCAACAAATAGTGCTGAAACATATTTTTTCTTTTTTTTTTGCTGAAACATGTTTTTAAAAAGGAAAAATACAGCTCTAGAAATTACATCTTGCACAGATATTAACTCAGAATAGAGCATATAGCCAAAAATAAAGCAAAGCCACAAAATTTCCAGATTACACAGAAGATAACCTAAGTGACTTTTGATTTTGCCATGACTGTTTAAGGGACTATATAGAAGGACCAATGCATAGGATAAAACATTGATGAGTTAGACTGCATTAAAATTTAAAACTTCTGCTATGCGAAAGCTTTGGTAAGAGAATAAAAAGACAAGTCATAAGTTTGTAGAAATAGTTACCTAACAGATATCCAGTGGCTGGTATACAAAATATACAGTTCTCAAAACTAGATGTCTTGGTTACTTTTCTCTCGTTGCTGAAACAAAATATCCAACACCCAAAATGAAATAAGGAAAGGCTTATTTCGCTCACAGTTTGTGGAGGTTTCAGTCCATAATCAGCTGGCACCAAGGCAGGGTGGCCTGGCACTGGGGCAGCACTTCCAGGTGGCAGCCAGCAAAAGCAGCCAGAGCAAAAACAGGAGAAGACCAAGCCTTCTTTCCTCCCTTGTATTGTATGAAGGCCACCCCCAAACCAGGGCAGATGTGGCACTCACAAAATCTCTGTGCCCTCCTCTTGCACATGATCAGGATATTTACAAAGTAAGGATCCTGGCTCCCTGCTGAGTCTCCTTGTTAAACTGCTAGACTTCTCAATTTGACACAATGTATCAACCATAACTTTAGGATACCAAGGACTCAATTAATGGGCAAAATATTTGCACAGATAATTCAGCAAGGAGGAAACACAGGATGTATGGACCTAAGGAAAGGTACTCACCAACACGGATCATCAGGTAACTGAAAGTCAGATTAATGACAACACATACCTATTAGAATTGCTAAAACCCCAAACTGTGACAGTATCACACACCGATAAGGATGCAAGCAACAAGAACTCTCAGTCACTGAGGGCAGAAACACAAAATGCTACTTGGTGTGACCACTTTCAAACACAGCTTGTCAGCTGCTCCCAGAGCTAACCACAATCTCATCCACCAATCCAGCAGTCAGTACATTAGGTTACCTCGGTCAAGTGAAAACTGATGCCCTACTAAAAGCTGCACAGGGATGTTACAGCAGCTTTATTTCTCCCAAATCATGGAAGCAACAAAATGCCCTTCAGAGTTAAGAACTGCCACTCACTAAAAAGTGCTACGTATTTTGTTATTCGATTACATGCTGGGATGAGACTCTGGGAAGCCAGAATCGCTCACTCACTACTGGCAGAAGAATAAGATGCAATGCCATCCAGAACTCTGTGTTAGAGCCTCCGGGAAATTGTGTGTGTGTGCGTGTGTGTGTGTGTGTGTGTGTGTGTGTGTGTGTGTTCCATGATTCAGAAGCCCTTGGAGAAAGAGCCCTATGTGCATCTAATGAGGCCAAGCAAAATGACAGAAGGCATTTATCGTCCATAGCTAGAAAAATGAAAATAAACTCAGAGAGATAAATATTAGAATTATTAGAATATTAGAATCTAGCAATCAGAAACACTGAACATGTACATGGACTAACACAGACAAATAAATATAAATAAGCAAATTTCAGTAAATAAGTTATAAAACTATATGCCTTGTGTACACACACATATGTATAAATATGCAAACACAGATAGCTTATGAACAAATCCATAGACTCATGTGATATAAATTTAAATATGCAGAAGAAAACAGAATAAATTAATTTTCTTCTTTACCAAGAAAGTTTCCAGGGATACGACAGTCTACATAATTTAATACAAAAATGCACATTCCTTCCATTCAGCTTTTTAAAAATCACAAATAAAACCCATCACCATATGGAATCAAAAATTAAATCTACAGGAATGTATTCCCCTCACCTTTGACCAGAGTTTAAAATTGGTCAGACCTCCTTGATCATCTATACTGTTACCTTCTTGCAATATGCATATTTGTGCAAAAATAATACCCAGCAACATTTTACATGTTTAAATATATCTCTTATCATTTATTTGTGTTACTGATAGATGGATTGTTTCAGATTTCTTGTCACTACCTATAATTTTGAAATGTGCATTTTTGTAGATGTTCACACGTGTATAAAATTAGAACTGCGATGCCTACGGCACGCATGTTTACATTTGCCTGGATGTTGGCCGATAAGTCTCCAGAGTGGCAATCCTTAATTACCACTTCATCAGCACCGCATCGCATATCTATCCCTGGTTCTTTACTGACATCCTTGCTGCCATGTGGTACATCCAGCAACTGTTGCTGGTTACTGTTTTTTAATTTGATTTATCTGAATATGAAAAATCTTCTGAGACTGCAAATCATAACACACATTTATTGACTCTTCGGGATTTGCTGGTTCATCTCATTTGTCTGTTTTTCAATTTTCATAGGTTTTCTTATTGATTTATAGTAATTTTATATACTGAATATTAATACCCTGTACTTTGTAAATTGTAAATATCTCTCCTGCTCTGTGGTTTAACTTTTAAATGTTTACGGTTTGGGCAGAGACATTTGTTTAATTAAAATCTTTAAATCCATCTCCTCCTTTATTGCTCAAATTTTTCCCAACATAGTTTTAAAGCACTCTCCAATATCAAGGTCGTGACACTGTGGAGCAATATATTATCTGTTAAACATTTTAAAATTTTGCTGTTCACATTTAGATTGGCAGTTGACTGGAATTGATTTGTTTTTAAAATATGGAAATGGGGTCCAATACATATTTTATATGGATAAACTACCGTTCCAGAAACATGCACTGAAAAGTTCCTTTTTCTCCAGCCATAATATCAACCGTCACACATGAATCTGCCATCCGGTCAGCACATTTTTATCACCTAGCACATGGTCAGCTCTGTCCTAAGCACTGGTTACGTATCAGTGATCATGGGTGCCCGCGTCTCCCTTGGGGTTTGCATCCTATCCCCTTAGGGAAGCTGATTCTCCATCACTAAACCACTTATTCTGATCATCATTATGTTTACGTAGTCA